GTCTACGCAGTTTCAGCATCTCTTACTACCTACAACCACGACGCTATGTGCGCCGTACGGGATATCCTCGTCGTGCTACTATGTACTTTATTCGCGCGAATTGTTAGTGCTCAACCCTTTGCGAAGTGGTCGTCCAGTGGAAATCCTGCTCTAGATTCTGCTCAACTACACTTGCGATCTTAACGACTTTTCTAGCTGAAGGAATGCGTCATGTCGTGGTAACCGTGCCTGTACGATGTGAGCAAGTGCAACGCGGTGGGGTATAATCTTCGTCCGTTGGGTACGTTTCGTGGGAGCAACATCTGCCAATTTCGGCGTACCCCATGTGCCAAAGCTCAAAATCAAACGCAAATTTTGCGTTAGTCGGAAGCATGTGGGTACGTCGGAGGTGCATGTCGGAGGTGCCGGAACAATGGCATGTCCTGTCATGCTGAGTTAGCATGTGTCACGCCGAAATCGTCAGCACGACAAGGTTACGCAGCTTTGACTCTGTGAGAGGCAGTTGCTAAGATAATTTCTGCCATAGGCGACCAGGCTATGGGCTTGCTAAACTCACCAAAACCATGGACTACGTCTACCATCTCGTTGTATGTTCAAGCTGGCACCATGTGCGGCATCTGCTTTTCTTTGGCAGTATTAAGGTTTTAAAGTAGATGTACAAATATGTTAATTTATATTATCTAGGACTTGATGACTTGCGTCACATCGTCCTTTGTCTTGACGCTGCTGACAAATGTGCTGGAAGGTTGGTCGACAATAAATTCCTGTGTCTGCGATCATCTCGGCAAATTATGTGGTGGTGGTGGGGGGGGGGAGAGGGGGGGCAGTCGATTGAAGGGGTGCATATGCTCGAGAAATATTGAAGTGAGCAGTATTATATGCGGCAGTTGTTTAGTGCTCAGACAGTTTGTGATAGCAAAGGTCGACTGCAATGCCAGCTTTTGACGACAATCTGCTTTCACCTCCTCTGAATCGCACCTGTAGTACCGTTTAGCGATCGTTTTGCTTTCGGTAAGCTCCATGCTGCTCAACACGTGGCTAATATCAACCGGATATCAGTAGAGATCTTGGAATCGTGTCACGACTCAATTAAATGTATATGATGGGCTTAGTTAGTAAGTGATTGTAGAGGCCTTTTGACCGTAATCAGCCGCTTGTGTCCATGAAAATCAGCTTCTGCTGTTTAATGCAGCCACGTCCAGATAGCAGTTGATCGACTGCCTGGCGAGGCTGCTGGCCGCTGCATACCAGCTGGACTCGTATCAAAGCTATCACAATACCCTTTACAGGCTTAAAAAACTATGAATACTAAAGGAATGTTTTTTCAACAGATGCACAAGCTCACTTTAAATACGGCTTTTTTCTGCTTCTTTTTTACATTTTTGGGTACAATTTTGACATCTACCACGCACATGTGGATGGTGCAGTTGAGTCCTGGTTGTAGCTTCAATGAGTGAAAACTTGTGGTTGTAAAATTCCAGAGCTAGCTTAGCTCTCAGGAGAGTTTCGGTCAGTTCTTAACTAACGAAGTAGTAAGGAAGACACTGACCGAGACTCTCCGAAGCCACACTAGACTCTGCGACGATACACTCACTTATGCCAGCACCAGTACGGCTCGGTGTCCGTGACAGTGCAGTAGTCTCTGCTGTCTTCATCTTTGGCAAAAATAAACAGTCACAGAAGAATTAGAGCACAGTGCATGTGTGTATTCTGAGCTAGAAAGTAGCGACGTAGTTTCGTTGCTACTTCCTAAGGACTTGACGACGTGTGATCTATCGCTCCCGCCAACAGCAACAGAGATAATGTGCACCTCGTAGCCGACACCTGAGGTCAACGACGAGAGCGACACATCACCTTGTGCTTCTTGGTCCCGGGCCTCATTTAACCAAAGTTCCTTTCTTGGTCGTCAAGAGTTCGTAGAGCCTGTACGGTTTGAGCTTCTGTGGACTCGACGTCAAGGCCAGAGTATAAATTAAAGTGCTAGCACAGGTAAAACAAATAGTATACTACCTTGCTTACAGCTTGAGATAGTCGTTTACGCTGCCAAGACATGTATCAATCATTTTACCGATGCCGCCAGGCTCAATGCGCGGTTAGTTTCCTTCGTTTATTATATACATGACCAGTTCCATTTAACAGTGCTTTTATACCATATGAGGTAGGTACTCCTTAGAGCAATCTCCGCACCATCTTTTGCAGTAAAGAGTGTGACGTAATGCACTTCCAGAAGATAAGCCCGACCTGACCGATCCACGGAGCTTATGGAGGCCATGTCGTCAAGCCACCTGTCGCCACACATACGCACGGTCATCAATTGGAAAGTGGACGAGCTTCTACGAACAATTTCACATGTTTCTTTGCTGAAGCATGTGGAGTGTTGCTCTGTAAACTGCACACTTATATATAGTAAAGGGAACTCATAAAATATCAATTTAAAATATCACTTTTATGAGTCCATGTACTATATTAGAAACGAATTAGTACTTAAAGATAATTTACAGAATTATAATATTACGAAGCCAAGCAGGATAAATCTATCGAATCGGTAAATTATCCTTCAGCAGATACCAAGGATATTGCCGCAACTTCGGCCAGGTTTAGTGAAGCACAGTCTCTTCGGCTTGCAGCAGTACGCAGAGCCAGTGTGGGAGGATGCTTAAAACTTGCTTGCGAATATTGCTAACGTGCTAAATATTTATTCGAGAATCTAAGCAAGTTATGTACCGGGAGAAAAAGTCAAAGATGTATGGTCTGGCAAGGCACAGTGACTAACAAGGCTTCTTTACATGTTAAATCACCAAAGCCATTGTTGGCAATAGTGTAAGATAATCTTTGTCCAGAGTTGCACCCGTGGAAAATGCAACTTTCCAAGCTCTAGCAGCTGATGAATGAGGCAAACTCGCAGGATCCGCATGCATTACCACCTCTTCGGCTGGGAACCGAATGGAGGCCACGCACTTTACGCGGTTGCGGTTGCTGTGGAGTCCCCGTGCACTCTTGCCTTTCCGTTTTTGCAGTCTCATTCTCAATCTTGCGTCCAAGAGATCAACCGAAAGGAAACCCCACCCAGCATCGGCACTGACCTTCGTGTGGCCGGTCGGTACTTCATCGGTCAAGTAACACTCCACCATGTTGACGGACGAAAGTTTCGACGGCCAACTTTGCGAGGAGGTGACTATTGTACATGTTAAACGGTTCATGGATACATGTACCCATGTTCGCAAGTGCATGTTTGAAAACTTTTTTTCTCTGTTCACTTGTATGTGCTTCTTCAACTCTGGTCAGCCAGCTACGACCGTCTAGCAGCTCTTCTTCTCTCCACTGTCCTCATCTTATGCGCGCTGATGGTCCACGAGCATGAGACTGGCCACGAACGTCATCATCATCTTGGGCTTGACCTCCACGATGTCCTCGTACGTCAGGAAGACCGTGGCGCCGATCTTCTGCGCGCAGCTGATGGCGTACTTGGCGTTGCTGGCCTTGGCGTCGTCCGTCTTGTCCTGCGAGACCATGTCCCAGTTCACCGCACGCGGCTCCACAGCGTGCACCAAGTCCAGTAGATACAGCCCGTCGGACAGCGTGGGGTCCCGGAACGCCACGATGTTGCCCTTGGCCCGTCCGCTCTGCTGCACCTTGTTGTTGGCCCAGCCGATGATGTCCTTGTCGGTGATCTCGCCTCGCCCGGCCGCCAGCTCGCTCAAGATCTTGAGCTGCTGGTACCGCATACTCTG